TTATCTTTCTCTGACTGGCTTATTTTGCTTAGCATAATGTTCTCCAGTTCCATCCATGCTGTTGCAAATGGTAAGAATTCCTTCTTTTTGACAACAGCGTAGTATTCCACTGTGTAGATGTACGTACCACAGTTTTCTAATCCACTCATTTGCTGATGGGCACTTAGGCTGTTTCCAAATCTTAGCTATTGTAAATTGTGCTGCTATGAACATAATGGTACATATATCCTTTCTGATTGGTGTTTCTGTTTTCTTGGAATACAGTCCTAGAAGTGGGATTACTGGTTTTTCTACTTCTTCAATTGCCAGTGATCATTTCTTTCACACCATTAGCAATATTAGCACTCTTGATGGCCTCTTTATATTTTAAAATTGTGCTAATCACCCATTTCACTAGCAACAGAAGCAAATAAAACAACACAAAAAAACAAAAATCCACAAAAATATTCACAGCATTATTTCCTGAGATGTTAGTGCTAAACTGACTCATACTAGTGCATTCTTTGTAGCCTGAGAGAAGCTTTTCAACAACCAAGACACCCCCATCTCTCTCCCCTTGAACAACTTGGTTGAGAACCAAATTGTTTGAGATGGGAGCCACTCGAAAACCCAGGTTTGACTAATGTTAGTCTAATGGCTAAATTGTTAAGCTCTACAATATAAATAAAAATAGAGAACTGTTATGAAAAGAATATGGTTTTAGCATCATTTAAAAAGTAAACACCAATAGTTGGCTAGGCAGTTATCCAATAGAGAATTATTAGATCATCTATGATTAATGTAGCTTATGAAGATATGCCAAATTATTCATAATATATTTAGTAATCTGAATTCAGAAAAATTAGAACTTCTGTTTTTTGGTAAATAGCATAATGGTTATGAACCTGGGCTTAGGTTTTAATTCCTGCTTCCCTATTTATTTGTGTGTTGGGTACACATTATTTGACCCCTTTGAGACTCAGTTTCCTGCTTGCAAAAGTGGAGAGAATATTGACTTCCTCATAGGATGTATTAAATGAAATGATAACTTTAATCAATGAAGAAATTTAAAAAAACAAATAAATGAAATTATAAATGCTTATTAGTAGTGTCCAGGCACATGTTAAGGTGATTAATATTATTATATCATTAATTAGTTTTAACAACATAATTTTTATGGATGCATAATTTGTTTTAATAATTACTTTATTTCAGCTTCTCTCTGGATTGCTAGGTTTTAATCGCATATTATATATATGCAATTATATATATTTGATATATTTGCTTTCATCTCTTCTGAGCTTTTTGAGAGATAGTTTATTGTCTGTAACTTCTATCACAGTAAAATAGTATTACGGCTATCCATCACCCATTTTTGGGACTATACAGAGAACTTCTAGGTCAAAAATAAAAAAGGGATAAACCATGATCAAAAGGCTTAAATAGGCCTTATCTTATAAAATGACCCAAATGCTTATTTTTCTTCTCTTTGAAAGCGGTACTAAACCACTGTGCCCAGTTTAAAGGAATTCTATAGCTGATAATAAAGTTTTATGTAATATTTCTATTATATTACATAGATTATATGGATTTTAGAATTTCTCTTGGGATAGAAGTAAATTCAAAGAGCAAGATGTGAATAGTATATTTTAAAATGTTTTTATCAAAACCTTTGTAATAATAATAGTCCATTAAATCATCAATCTTCTTTGTCAAGTTATGATCACCAGGCAACAATATTCAACTCTTCCACCTTATGATATTTATTTCCAAAGAACATGCTTCCTCTGCTCTTTCTCAATTCATGACTTTTAGATATCTCTGGATCAGTTCTTGTTATGGTGCATGAGGGTTTAGCTCATTTAAATCCTCTTCCCATGCCCTCTTTTCCCCAATTTCTAAAATTAATTATATCACAGATTTTGCTTAGACAATATTAGTTGTATATATAGTTGGGTAAATATTGTTTATTGCTGAGTCAAGTAGTGAACTGTAACAACATTTTCTACCTAGGGGACTATTTTTCTTAAAATTGACTTTGCTCAATTTTCTTTTTATTAATCAATGATTCTTCCTATATACTTCTACAAAAATATGAGCTGAGAGGTATCTCAGGACTGTTTTCTACAAAGACAGATTCATTAGATAATATCAGTTTTATTCTTCTTCTCTAAACCTGGACATTGCTTATTCTCTCCTGTGTTTGATCTCCAGTACTCTGGATTCCACATCTTACTATATTTTAGTGTAGTCCCTTGTTTTGGAGGAGGATATGCTCCAGTAGCTTCTTGAGAAAGGTACATTGGAGGTAAATTTTTTTGAAATCTTACTAGTATATAGGTGAACATATTTTTTGTGTGTGTGTTTTAATTTAAAATTGTGTATTTGAATGATAGTGTGGCTAGCTAAAGAATTCTATGTTGGAAGTAATTTAACTTGGAATTTTCAAGGCATTTTATCTTTTAGATTCCAGTGTTGCTGTTAATGCCAGTCTGATTTCTCATTATCTCTCGAATCAAATTTCCTCAGTATTATGAAATTTCACTTTGATGTAACTTGTTGAAAGCCTTTTAATTTATTAGACTGGGTACTTGGTGAGCCTTCTTTGTGTGTTTCTTTTAATTGATTTTAGAGAGAGAGGAAGGGAGAGGGAGAGAGAAACATTGATGTGAGATAGACACATTGATTGATTGCCTCCTGCATGCACCCCAACCGGGCAGGGATGGAACCTACAACTCAGGTACGTGTCCTTGTCCGGGAATTGAAGCCGAGACCCTTTGGTGTGTAGGCTCTAACGACTGAACACACCGGCCAGAGCTATAGTCTTATTATTTTACTACCATTGCACTAGGTTTTAGAGCAGCATGAAAGATGAACATGTGTGTTCAACCCAGAAGTAATATTATACAGTCTAATTCCAAAAACTTTCAAGTTTTTTGTGCATTTTTTTTTTTTGCAGGAGAAATTCAAATGAGGATCATAGGAATATAACCAGACTCTGTTTTTTAAGGTTTTCAGGCGAGCCTTGCCCAATCCCTAATCAAAAGATATGTATTCTTAAGATTTTATATTAGCTTACTTTTTGTTAATATTAGTCAGATGATTGCACAAGAAAAGCTTAGAGGACAGAGTACATTTGAATGGTGATCAGAAAAACTGAGTCAGTATTGGCTGCTGTTAACAACAAAAAACTTAGCTTTTTAACATTTTGTACTTTAACAGTTATGCTCTTTGACTTTGAGAGATTTATAGCTCTGGTACCTATTTTTTTAAATATGTTTTTATTGATTTTTAGAGAGAGAGGAAGAAAGAGGGAGAGGGAGATAGAAACATCAATGAGAGTGAAACATCTGTTGGCTGCCTCCTGCATGCCCTTACTGGGGATCAAGCCCGCAACCCAGGCATGTGCCCTGACCAGGAATCGAACTGGTGACCTCTTGGTGCGGGGGTTGATGCTCAACCACTGAGCCAAACCAGCTGGGCTGGTACCTATGTTTTTCTTTTTAGAGGCAAAAAATATGTTTTTTAAATTCAAATATTTAGAGCAGCACTGTTCAATTTACTAGCCATATATGGCTGTTTAAAATAAAATTAAAATTTAGTTTCTCAGTTTTATTAGCCAAATTTAAAGTCCTTGGTAGCTACATGTGTCAGTTGTTTAGAACTTTCCCAGGTTAGCACAGTTTATATTACATTGACAATTCCACATATATTGTATAGTGCCTGAGAGACCCAGAGAGCTTATCAAAAATTGAATTTGTTCAGCCATCGTAATTGTCATGTTCCTACTCATTCTTTAAAGCTTCAAGTTGTGGCAAGAACTTTTCTTATATGGATTGAAATTGTGGTAATTGTGTCTTTGTTCGACTTTTCTGGTCTACTTTTAATTGGTTTTTTTTTGTTTTTTTTTCCCTCCCTAGACAGTGCAATGCTTGCTAGACAGTGGTGCTGATATTAACAGGCCAAATGTATCAGGAGCCACTCCATTGTACTTTGCTTGCAGGTATGAGATGTTATATTTCCAGATACTGTCATTAAAGAATGTCGTGTATTTACTATATTTCCAAACACAAACATTTCTGTATATTTTCTAAGGCTCTCTTGTTTTTTCATTAATACTATGCTGTCTTTTAAGATGAAGTATATGGCATTATGGTTGTTACTTAACCGCATGAGGAAAAATATTTTCTATTATATTGCCAGTGTTTTTATATGGTGTAAGTGGAGCTTTTAATATCTTTGATTATTCAATTTTATATTAATTACTTATTAACTAATGAGAAAAGACATAATCCACTAATTTTCCTAGTTGTCTTTATTAAGTTCCAGGTCAATTCCAATGGGATAAGCTATTAAAGTATGTCTTGGTCCACAGTTCTGTATCTGCTTTCTCTGGAATTGTAAATTAAAAAAAACTTTTTTGAATCATTATTGTTAGATATTAAATTCTGCACTAAATTATTTTTGTACTATGTCTTGGTTCATTTTCTTAAAGCACTTATTTTGTTCATTGATTCATTTATATAATTAGCAAACATTTAGTTAGCACTCGCTGTTTGCCATCCATTATTATAGCATTAGTGATACAGTAATAAATATACCTCAGTCCTTATGGAGGTAGCAATATAATAATTATACACATACACCTTTTCCCCCCATGCACACACACAGACACACAAACACACGCACACACACAATGTTATATAAATGTAATTAGCAGTTAGGAACAGTTCACAATACACTAGTGATTCTTCCCTTTGGTTTAGATTATATGAATTATAATATTTATTTAGGCTCTTAAATTCAAATATAGAGCTCTCCAAAAAGCTCTTCTTTTCTTTATCCTTTTTTTTTTTATAACATTTTATTGGAGATTTATTTTAGACTGAAAGACCTGCTTTTCTTCTTGTTTAGCTTCTCTTTAAGATTTCTGATGTTACTTTGATCAGACTGATTCAAATCATCATCGAACAACTTTGAATTATAATACAAGGACTTTGGATCTCTAGACTAGATCTTATCTGAATTTAGTTATTTTCTAAAATTATACTTAAGAAAACCAGTTACTTCCATAGTATCTTGAGTTTATAAATAATATCATTGTTTGATTCCCTGAAATCATATTCTATCTTGAGGGGTTGTTTCTAGATAAGACCTTTCTTTGAAGGTTCAGATTTGAAATGTCCACCTGCCTGATTTACACCACCATTTGAAAGTTTCATAGAATCTCAAATGTCACCATGTCCAAAATACAGGTTTCTGATTTTCCTTTTCAAACCTCCTCCAGTTTTTCTAATCTCAGTCATCGGAACCCATATCCTTTCAGTTTAAACCAGAAACTAGGTCATTGTTTTTTATGTCTTTCTTTCTCTGACCCTCCACTTGGAATTAATTAGTCAGTTCTATAAATTCCACCTTCAGAATATATTCTGAATCTCTTTATTCCAACTCACTGAAACCACTTTGGTTAGAGTTGTTACCTCTTATCTAGAGTACTGCAGTGGTCTTGTAAGTGGTTTTTCTGATTCCTCTTTCTCTTCCACTGTTCTTTCCTCAGTTGCCAAAGTGATCTTTAAAAAATGAATCAGTCTTGTCACTTTGTGTTTAAACCCTGTATTTAAAACTTTTCAGTGCCTCTTTGTTATATTTCAAATTAAATCCAATCTGCATTCACCCGTGAGACCTGCGTGGTCTGACCCCTACTTGGCTCACTGTGCTTCAGTTGCATTGGTTCTCTTTGAGTTCCCCAAACACAGCTGACTCTTTCCAGCAGGCTATTCTACATGCTATTTGTTTTGCCTGAAAAGGTCTTCCCTAGGCTTCTTTTTTTTCTTTTTAAAATATATATTTATTGATTTCAGAGAGGAAAGAAGAGGGAGAGAGAGATAGAAACATCAATGATGAGAGAGACTCATTGATCGGCTGCCTCCTGCACGCCCCCCACTGGGGATCGAGCCCGCAACCGGGCATGTGCCCTTGACCGGAATCGAATCTGGGACCCTTGAGTCCACAGGCTGACACTCTATCCACCGAGCCAAACCAGCTAGGGCTCCTAGGCTTCTTATATGGCTGACTCCTTCATGTCACTGCTTAACTGTTACTTTGTAGAAAGGCAATTCCTCACCAATCCAAGTAAGCCTCTCCCCAAATTTTCTATCATATATATGGTGTATTTGCTTGTTTACAGTGTATCTCCCTTACTAGACCGAAAGCTCAGTGAAAGCAAGAATTTTGCTTATTTTATTCACAACTTTATAGTCAGTGCTTTCTGCTGAAATGCTTTCTGCTGAAATGCTTAGTAAATGTCTGGAATGAATAACTATAATTACATGTTTGAAAATATTTTATATAGAACAGTGCCATGTATAATAGTAAAATATAAGTATACTAGAGGCCCGGTACATGGATTCGTGCAACGGTGGGTCCTTTCACCTGGCCTGTGGGGATTGGGCTGAAACCTACTCTCCAACATCCCCCGAGGGAGTTTCAGATTGCTAGAGGGCGGTTCTCGAGTGATGCACCCCGCAGCGCCCCATAATTGGGCTCCCTCCTTTCTGGTTCCAGGGTGTGTCACTGGAGAACCGCTGCTGCCAAGTCACTGCAGCTCGGCAGCTCCCATATTGAGTGTCTGCCCCCTGGTGGTCAGTATGCATCATAGCTACCAGTCAGAGCGTCTGCCCCCTGGTGTTCATTGCGCATCATAGCTACCGGTCAGACAGTTGGACGGTCACTTAGCCTTTTATATATATAGATAGATTAGTATTGTACAGAACTGGGATATTCATATAGTTAGTCTAAGCATAGGGATATGGTTAAAGAATTTTTTAGAAGTACTTTCTGCTAGTATTATATTCTCATCAAGTTTTATTTATTTATTTTTATTCATTGATTTGAGAGAGAGAGAGATTTGTTGTTCCACTTATTTATGTATTGGTTGCTGACCAGAGAATGAACCTGCAACATTGGTGTATCAGGATGATGTTCTACCCAACTGAGCTACCCTGTCAGGGCCCCATCATTAAGTTGTTTTTGTTTTTTTAATTCTTACACAAGGATGTGTTTTTATTGATATTTTAGAGAGAGAGGAAGGTGGGGAGAGGAGAGAGAGAGAGAGAGAAACATCAATGTGAGAGAGAAATATCAATTGGTTGCCTCCTGTATGTGTCCCTACCAGAGATTGTGCCCTAGGTATGTGCCCTTACCAGGAATCGAACCCATGACCTTTTGGTGTATGGGATGATGCTCCAACCAACTGAGCCACCTGGCGAAGGCATCACTAAGTTTGTTGTTGTTGTTGTTAATCCTTACCCGAGGATATTTTTTCCATTGATTTTTAGAGAGGGGTAGAGACAGAAAAACATCGATGTGAGAGAAACACATAGATTGGTTGTCTCCTGCATGTGCCCTGGTGCAGGGGATCAAGCCTGCAAACAAGCCTTGACCAGAATAGAACTTGAGACCCTTCAGTCTGCAGGCCAATGTTCTAACTACTGAGCAAACCAGCTAGGGTGGCATCACTAAGTTTTAACCTAGCAAACATTGGATCTCTTTGAACAAAGATTGTTAAGCAAAACTGGTTAGAGTTGAGAAGGAAGTGACTGGAAGAAAGAAACCAAAGCATAGTCTTCAGTAGCAGTTATTTATCCCAAAATATTATGATTTATTATAGGTAATATGTCTCAAGTTCAATACTCATATTTAATATGTCATTTTCTTACCTACATAGTGAAAGTATGACTTAACATTGAGAAATGTTTTCCTGATTGTTGACGATGTAGTTCAGATCTTCCTCTCAATTCTTAAAAATTCTTAATCCTCGTTGATTCATATTAACTGTCCATAATTCATAGAGAATGACTTTAAATTAAAACAATTATATTTTTAACTTGTTTCTCTTTCTGTACAGTCATGGTCAGAGAGACACAGCACAGATTCTTCTATTACGAGGAGCCAAATACCTGCCAGATAAAAATGGAGTAACCCCTCTGGATTTATGTGTACAAGTATGTTGTTAATATATATTCTTAGCCCCTTATTTTATAATAGAAGGAGACTGATAAAATAACGTTTTTTCTCAAATGAGAGGGTGGGTACAAAGATTTTTATTCTGTAAAGAATATGCTCTTTAAAAGGAATAGTGATATAAGAAATATATATTGGTCTTTATGACACATGAGCTTCTAAGACCCTTGGGTTCTCCAGAATGTAAGAATGTCTTTTTGTATATTAATGAGATGACTGGTGGCTGAAAGCTCTTAGATAGCTTCAGGATGTGGGCTGGTTGCCAGAGGGGCCAACCATGGGATTAGGGGGCAGCTTCTTCTCCTGTTCCTGGGGAAGGGAGAGGAGCTGGAGCTTGAAATCGGTCACTGATGATCAATAATTTAATCAATCATGCCTATATAATGGAACTTTCCTAAACACCCTAAACAGTGGGGTTCTCAGAGAGTTTCTGGGTTGGTGAATATGTTAAAGTGCTGGGAGGATGACATGCCCAGAGAGGGCATGGAAGCTCTGTGCTCCTTCCCACATACCTTGCCCTATGAATCTCTTCTATTTGGCTACTCCTGAGTTGTACCCTATATAATGAACAGGTGATAGTAAAGTGTTTCCCTGGATTCTGTGAGCTCTTCTAGCAAATTATCAAACTCAAAGAGGAGTTGAGGAACTTCTGACTTACAGCTGTTTAGTCAGAGTTAGGTGGTCTGGACTTGTGATTGACTGCCTTCTGAAGTGTGAACCAAGCTCCTTATCTGGGCTGTCTATACATTTTCCTTTAGGAACTTTGTTTTTAAAGCTAGATAATTTTAAATATATTTTTTAGGGTGGATATGGAGAGACCTGTGAAGTATTAATTCAATATCACCCTAGGCTTTTCCAGACAATTATTCAAATGACACAGAATGAAGATCTCCGAGAAAACATGGTAATGTAATTGTGCTAGTAGCCTGTAAATGAACAAGCTTTATGCATGCTTAACATACATGGCAATTTACAAATGTGTTCTTAATCATATTATTATAAATATTTA